GTAAAACCAAATTTATTTTTAATATTGCCTCAGTATTCCTCAAATTCCAGATTTCTGTAGTGTTCTGTAATGAGTTCCTGTGTACTCATTATTGAGTAGAAGATTCAAAACCTAATGTTGTCCTTTATTTTACTTTTTATTTTATTTATTTTATTTTTAACTCTTTGGGCAAGTTCAGCTTCAGTTCATTCATTGGAACTGCTGCTCAGACACTTCGAAGTTCTGTGCATGTGTGTGTTGCCAACTCCGTTACTACTTTTAGCTTTTCCATCTCTCTTACTCTCCCTCCCTTCTCTCTTCTCCTTTGAAACTTTCTGGTTATCTGTTTTGCTTTAAGTTCCCTACACTGCTCATATTATTAACCTTGGGCTAGGAAGACAAGTTGGCGTGAAAGACTAAGACAGAATGAAAGTGAATGGAGAGAGCGACTGTGAGTGAGAGTGGAAAGTACACACACATTCAAGCAGATTTTCCAAAGTTAATATAAAAACTGGATAAGGAGTTATTCCTTATTTTGCATCACCCTCTCTTTTCGCCGTCACTGAGAGCAATTGAGAGTTCATTGCGCACATTTTAAATACACACATTCAAGCACACACATTCCCATATATATACATACATGCACATACACTATATATATTCATATATATATATACACACACACACACACACACACACACACACACACACAATCTATGTGATTTTTACAAAATATATTTGGCACAGCCCTCTGAATATAATCTGCAGATTTTCCTGTGGGCACAGTTGTGAGGGACAGGGGGTTCGTTTTTAAGATGAGTTCCACTTCCTGATGTAACTTGTTGATGAACCATCATATTTTAACAATAATTCCATTCTTGGTATAATTAATAGAAAATTAGTTTCTAAAAGTAAAAATTGGGTCAGAAATGGAGATTATTAAAATGTACAATTGCAAAAGCCTGACCCTACAAACCCCATTTATGCAATCGAGTTCCAAAATGCTTTTGAGTGCTTGATGACTCACTGTGGCTTCTTCCTCTGGCTGGTTTAGTGTAGGCAAGAGGTTAGCCTAAATTAAAACAATGTTGTACATTATATTGTTACCAGCCATGGAAAAGCCTATTTTGTATGCAAGACAGCAATGCTGAGATATATGGAGAGCCCTAGGCTAAGTACAGAAGATAATTACATTTGGAATTTTACTGAGTTAAGTCATTTACAGCTTCAAATAGTTGCAGAGAAAAATCAGCCAAAACACACTTAAACTTTTTGTTGTGACTTTTCGGGATTGAAAGGTTTTTTTGTTTTTTTTTTAATTAGTTATCATCTTGTATGACAAATTACTTTCTTTTTTTTTTTTTTTTTTTAGTTAGAATGTCTCAAAACTTATTTTCTTTAGTTAGTTAATATTTTTTTTCCATTCAGACTACAGATATGAACTTAGGACAGTGGAATACTCTCACAGGCAAAGGGACCATTGTAATTACCCCAAATTTTAATGTCTTTGGACGCATCCTTAAGTTTATTATGCTTATTGACATGAAAAAAGTATTTATGTATTCCCAAAGTTCACTTAGATTTAAATTTCTATTGAAATTTGATTCAATAGAACTATCCCTATGATTATTAAACCTGAATCAGGTATATTGGTGGTTGTGTTTATACAGTGATACATGTTTATGCATTAATTTCTTTAGTTGATAAAATTAAATTCTTAATGATTGCCTGAAACAATTTCTTCACCAGAATTATCATTCCAAACAGCAGATTTGAGATTGGGGCCCTTGTTCATGACTTGGGAACTGTGTCTTTTTTGTTAATTATTCCTCACTCTTCACAAAAGAGGGAGGAGAAAGAAAGAGGTGAGACCATCAGTAAATTGAGTGGCTATCCCTTGGGAGTTTCAGTGTCATTTTTTTGGTGGATTGACCATGGAGTATTGCAAGCTAATGCTTTGATTATTTGTGGATTGTATTTATTTGGAGATTCCCTTTAGCCTTCAGTTCTAAACCAAAGTGAAGGCAGTTTGTTAAACTTGTGTTAAAAAAATCAAAGATCATCAGGCCAGAAGTTATTATGTGGTCATTACCTGCAATATTCCTAATAATATGTTTGCTTGAGAATTTGCTTTAAATTGCAAGAAGGAACAGACTAATTCTGAAGGGTTCAGTATCTCTAAAGCCTGAGAGAACTGTTAAAAGTGATAACATACTACAGGTCAAGAACAAGGGTTGGCAAACTATATATACATTGTGGGTCCAGTCTTACCCGCTAAGAAAGATTTTTATATTTTGAATGGTTGCCACTGGGATTGAGGATGGAGTAAAAAGAAGAATAAATTATATGAAATTCAATTATCAGTGTCCAAATATAAAGTTGTATTGGAGCATGGCCCCATCCATTTAATTAGGCATTACCACTGGCTGCCTTTGCATTACAACACAAGAGTTGAGAAATTGAAGCAGAGTCCCTGAGGCCTACGAAGCTGAAAATATGAACTATCAGGCTGGCCCTTGCAGAAGTTTGCCAAGCAACCCCTGGTCTAGAGGATCAGAAAAAATTATTTGCATGACATTATTAGCCACTTGTTTTTCTAGGTTCCTGGCTACCTGCTCATCCCTTCCTGCCCCTCCCTTCTTTCCCTTGGTGTATAAAGCCAATTTAGTCACCACATGTGTCAAGTATTGCCAGTAGCAACTTCACATGACATGCATCTGCCCATTTGGTGGGCATGGAAAACTGGCTGAGAGACTCATCTATTCATCCTCATTTATTTGCAACATTAAATTTATTTGCAACATGGACCCTAATTTCATAGTGCAAACCTTGCTGGAGCCATGAAAGAGCATAAGAAGGGGTAAAACGGGTAGGGTTTCCTTTTGGTTCTTATGTTCTAGAAGGAAAACTTGATTATAAATAATTTTCCAGTAGTACTGTCTATTCATTGGACAGTGATGCATAACATTAATTGGTTCTTGAAAATTCCACAAACCTGCTCAAAACAGAGCTGCAATGTCAGACAGATGCCAGTCCAACACAGATTTTAATCATTAGTTATTTTTAATCAGATGAGACTACACAAGAAAATGTCAACGGTTTTTAGATTTAAAGACTCCCTTGCCCTATGACAGAGGTAAGAGAAGCCCAAGGATTAGCTTGAGAGTCTTTGGGCTGCAAATCTGGCACATTTGAGGGTCTGGGACAAGTTAACAGTAACACTGAAAGCTGAACTCATTTTAGGCTTCCTTTTTCTTTGACTTTGAGAATTCTGTTTGTGCCATTTGTTGCACCTATGTCTGGAAATGTACTTTTTAATTTATTCAACTGTCATTGTGTTCATAGAACTTGAGACATTTGGGAAATGAGGCCCATACAGCAGCGGAAATGCTTTGAAATGGTGTTTTTGCTCACAGGCTTTCTAGCTCCTTACCCACTGCGTAGGTCCCCATTCTCCCCGTGGCACACCGCATCTTTGTCTAGAGGAGATTCCCTGTACAGACTGAACCATTTCCCATTGCAGGAAGTACCTGATGCTCCAAGTCTCTCAAAGTATATCACAAAATTACCATTTGTTAATTTGAGTTGGAAAAACATCTGCACCACTTTATCATGATAGGGAAGTCAGAATAAGGTTTGAACAGTTCCCGAAGGGCAATCATTGCATTGGAGAAGGAGGTGAAATTCCCCCTAGCACCCAGGAAGCCCAAACTGTGCCTCACAGTATTGATTAATTAGAGATTCATTGTGTCTACCCCTCTCAACTATTTTGATGATTTCTAATTGCCCTAAAGGATTCCACCAGAGAACTCAGGCCGGCAGAGTCAGTCAGCAACAGGCATGACCAAAACTAGTGAAGGGCTCCTGGGTGCTGTCCCTTGTTGCTTTTCAGCCCCCTAATCTAAACCTTAGAATCCTTAACTCTGACCTAGGTCCCTCGTGCCTCTATCCTGTAACTACAAACTCCCTAAAAAATTAGATGTGAGATGTTTCTTTTCTTGTTGCCATCTGTGCAATGGTACATTGAAGCAAATGGAAAACCTTTAAAGGTTCTTATGGTGAACATTCAGACAACCAGGCAGAAATCAAGATGAGGAGTGATGGGGTCTGCCTTAGACCCGCCTAATCAGTGCTCTATGTGGGATGCATCCACATCTTTAAATTTTTTGTTAGAAGATATCAAAATTATAATGTATGTTTTCTTAGCTGTGGATGTTTGTTAGCAAAGAAAGGTTGGTAAATTTTAGTTACCATGTTACATCCTATCAATCACTGGCCTCTCTGAAGTGGAAAAGGCATCAAAAAGGTATATTCATTAGCATTCTGAGCCTTTTTTGACTATTTCTTACTGGGTTTCATTATGAAGACAGTTCAAATTTTTTTTTGACATTTTATCAGTAGAAATAGCTGGGAATTAACCTCAGCTATTATCTGGGTGCCCGGTATTGTAAACCCTAAGAAGTTTGTGAGCTCCTTATACTGTGCACACCTAAGACACCTAACATCAAGAGAGATGGATACCACAGAAATCTTTTAGGTCATAGATTTTTAAGTTCAGAGGACATATTTGAAGATTTTATCTGTTAGATTTTCTCTTCTGACAGATTGTTCTGGGTGTTAATGCAAACAAGGAATTGAGGTAGAACTGGAGGAGGGAAAAAATTTCCCACAATCAGCATGTGTGATCTTATATAGGTCATGAAGTGTACACCCGTACAGACACAGAGAGAAAGAAGGGCAGAGACTCAAGAACTGGAAACACATTGAGAGTAAAAATTTCCCACACCAAGTGCCAGATAGCCAAAACTGTAAGGTAGTACTTGAAGCTTTCTTGATAGCTGAGCACCTACTGTCAACCAGACTTAAATCCAGTTACCTGGGTTCACTCAGGTGGGACATGCTGATGTGCTCTCTCAGCCATTAAACTGTGGATAAGAAATCAAGAGAAGGTGTCTCAGCAGCCAAATCCAAATTGCCATTTGGGGACAGGATAAAGTATTTACCAGATAAGAGCAGTCATC